CTGAATAAATTTTGATTGCAACATGATTTCAAGTAGGAATTGTAACAAGTGCTCAAACATGCTCGAAATGTTCATCGTTCACTTATTGACACTGAAAAATCGGTTTTGGAATTCAATCCGAACGTGATTTACTGTTTCCCAGGTACATTTCAAACGCTTGTCATTTTAAAACGGCTTGACTGATTTCCACACACAATGCAGAGTTGGATAGAGAATCGAAAGGCCTTCAAAACAAGGTACCACGTGACCCCTCTTCACATTTAAAAAAAAAAGTTGATGGTGCCCACTTGACACTATGTCACGTGACCACAACCATTTTCATGCCAAATAGTAGTGAAAGAAGTACCTTTTTGCCTGGATTTTACCCGACCTCGCTAGCTTGTTCCGTTCAAAGGTTAAAGGGGGGGGAGGACTTTTTACGTCCTCACTGTATAGTGTAGTAGCCAATTCAAATCATATTTGCCGATGATGTATTCTTTATAGATCTGAAACATGTCGTCACCTCTTTTTATAATTTGACATTGGGGAAATGACTTGGAGAATTTCAACTATCTACTATATGAACTACTTCAGTCCAATCTTTGGTCCAAATAAGTGGAGTGACATTTTTCGAAGGAAGGAAGAAATGTTCGAAGTCATGACTTCGAACATTCCTTCCTTTGATTATTTCACTCTACTTCACAGAAAAATAATATGTTTATTATCATCACTTCCTCAGTTTTTATTTTGGAATCCAAAACCAATATAATTTCGATATCTAGCTCGAATATCAAACAAAATTTCAGGAAAAATGTCAACGAATAAATTCCGTCTGATGAGGAACTCACTCTTATGTAAATCATATGCTATTTTTCAACGATGACTTGGCACAATTAGATATTTTGTAATTAGCACTCAAATATTCATAGTAACAATTATGAGAACATAACCCGAGAGAGAACCTATATAACATGCATAATAAAAAAAAATGCATTACCTATAGGCAGAGATTATAATCTCTGCTATAGATATTTCAATTTATTGAACTGGCAATGGAGCATGCCGAAAAGCAAATTTCGTGCCTGCTTCTCAGCCCGCTTTTACATTCAACATTAGATTTTTGGGCACCGTGAACTACATAACATTCCACTCCCGATTTGGGCACTCTTTGAACATTGTGCTTCGCGATTCGGCACCGTTCTATTGGTTGTGATAGTGAGGTGTATTCTTTTTTTTTTTAATTTATCAAATCCTTCATGATCAAAAAAATAATATAGGATACGTCAGACAACAGATGATACACAAACATTTTGAACATAAATTTGTAACATTACAGTTATACACCAAAAGTAGATATAAAATGAATATTAATAAAATAAAGAAATTGGTCCTAATGACTAAGATACTCATCAGTACTGTAGAAACAACCTTTAATCAAAAATTCTTTCAGTTCTGCCTTGAAAATATTTTGACTACTTCGGTTTTTTATATCATCCGGAAGATGATTGAACAATTTTGCTCCCACATATGACGGACAGTTCTCATAGAGACGAGTTGAATGTTTTTGGAGCCGTATCAGTTCACCATGCCTGGTAGGGTATGCATGAAAATCACAATTTCGGTTGTAGTCATGGATATTTGTTTTGAATAATAAAATGCATTTGTATATATGAATGTATGGAACGCACATGATTTTATTTCGAATGAAGTATTGTCTACATGATTCTCTGTAATTTAATCCAAATATCAATCGTATAACCCTTTTCTGAGAAATGAATATTTTATTTAGTTTTGTGCAACAGCCCCACACAGCAATGTTGTAAGAAATATGGAAGTATACAATTGCAAAATATACATTCAAGAGCTGCGCCTTACTGAATGTTGACTTCAACTGTCTAATTGCATAATATCCAGTGTTTACTTTCTTGGTAACTTGATTCATAGTCGACTCCCAGGTCATGTTACTATCGATGTAGGTACCTAGAAATTTCACTTTATTTGATGATTCAATTGTCTCATCGCCTACTCTTACGTTGAAATTTTCAATTTTTTTTTGTAGCTTTGGAGTAGAACTGCATTAAAACTGTTTTTCTCGAATTCACTATTACCAAAAAATTCTTCATACACCAGCTTGTGAACTTCAAACTTAGCAAATTCAATTTTTCTTGAAGTTCCTCTGCGGGTAGCGGCATCCGCGGCATGCGTGGTATCATCAGCATACAGAACTATATAATCTGTGCTAATATGATTTGGCATATCATTAATAAAAAGGAGAAAGATTAGGGGACCCAATATAGACCCCTGAGAAACCCCTAAGTCCATATCATACGACTGTGATCGACATTCATCAACTTTTACATGTATTTTTCTAGAAGTCAAATACGACTCAAGCCACGAATTGAAAGTACCTCGAAAACCAAGGGAATACGGTTTTTTGCAAATAATACCGGGGTCGATAATGTCAAATGCCTTCGACAAATCAAAGCCAATGAGAATTGAGACGGATGCCGAATCCTATAGTGGAATGTTTAAATGCCGCCGGGTCAGTTCTCAAGGAGATCGGTGTTATCTGGGGAAAACTGGACACACTGTATGTACATCGCATACAGGGTTTATCAGGGACAGCCATCTGATTATTCTGATTCAGGATCGTTTTCGCGTATGTGTAAACCTTCGACCTTATTCATGAACACATGCAATCGCGGCTCAAAATTTGCCTTATCCTATTATCACGTGTCGAAGCTTATTATAAGAGGTAGGCGATTTGTGGAGGTATGCGTGATATGTTTTGTAACTTTTGACATGCTTGGAAGTTATGCTTCCTCCATCATCGGGGGCTGTGTGTAATGAACAATGTATAGCACTCACGCGATACTGTCATTATAGGAAAAATTTTGCATTTTTAAGATGTTCTATGAATAACCTACCGAAAATTCCACCCCAATGTCCCCGATGTATTTTTTTATGGTAAGAAAATTTGGTTTTAATGCCGAAATATAGCGAAATCAACATTCTCAAAACCTAGAAATAATAATATACAGGGTGACATAGAAAAGAGAAAAAATCTGGAATAATGTACCACCTCCTCGATTAACCTATACATACAGTGGTTATATCTTCAAATGAAAAAGTTAGAGGCTGCAATTATTTTAATTATTATCATTATACCAACATGACCAGATCATGTAGTTAATCGAAGCATGGAATTTCAGTTGGATTTCCGAGCCGCAGGTTTACACCTCGACATCGGCATTCAGCTGCAGCTGCTCGCATGCATTCGTGATAATATGGAAGCATTTTCGAAATGTCAGTCATAATCCGCATCGTCGGATTCCTCATTGCATTACATTGGTATCTGCTCACGTGTGAGCAAAACATGAATTCACATGAGATTCGTAACAGAAGATTATAATCATATCATAACACATCTATTCAGGGTTATTTGCAAATAAGTTCATAAACTATCAGAAAACCACAACTTGAACTCAGTCAAAACCTCACGATTAAGGTCGATAAATTCGTATCTCAGTTTCATGTTAATTTTTTTACAGGGAGTTTCAGATTCAAATGTACATACGACACCTGTAGATAGAGGACACTTTGATGGTTCCAAATCACCCCCATAGATATGTGCCTACCCTCTTTTATAACTGAGTTCATTGTTATTTGCAAAAATATCGATTATGTCGTGGATTTCATGCGATAATGAGAAATGAGAATATATCGGAGAATATATCAAGACTTTCTAATGTTTTAAGTTGTTTTAAGAAAATCCTTCAACATTTCTTTCAACTGATGAATGGAAACTATGCAATATATCGGATAGTAAATCAATCTTTCTTATAGGGTCATCCATTTTCAATATTCTCGAATCTGCTCTGAACCAAAAGTATGGTGATTACGACTCGTTGTAGTTATTTGTCGAGCTCTCCAATAAAATTCAGATCCGTTTCGTATCATTAAACGCTTGAAATGTTATTTGTTGGAAAAACTCCCACAATCCAAACGAAAGTTGTTAAGGTACTCGAAGATATTTAAAAATATCCCGACTAATTGAAACGAATTGCCAATTGTTTGGAACAATTTTCGGTTCTAATTTCATTCGATAGGTACTGGTTCTAGCTAAGCCAACATAAAGAAAAAAATCAGCACTGGAAAATGAGAAAGTCTAATACGAGAATCAATTATTGAAACACGGCGTCTTAGTTTCGAAGTGAATTGTGAGATTGAAAGGTTCATTACTTGGTATCTGATCCAAACTATTCAATTGTGACTCGTTCCGGATTCAGTCCATTTAATCACCATATCAATCTACTTTCGATACTGTCCCATATCATACAGATTCAATAGGTAATTACCATAAGATTGCCATTCAAACAATCCCGATCATTATTCAAAATCGGCAATGAAATGATATTGGTATCTCGATTTTCAATGTTTCATGGGCTATATAAACAAAAATATAGTCGCTATGTAGCACTTCAATGAAGGCTGCTTATCATACCTTCAACTATAAGTTGGTAGGAATTTAATTACTATCTCTAAGTGAGCAATGATTTCATTATTCGTGATATCGGTAGGTAGGTATCTATCAATTCCCACAAAACAGATGAGTAATATAGCTTCTGTTGGTATATGTTTATGAAAAAACACAAATCCAATGATTATCTTCAAATAGGGGAATCAAATGCGATTACGAAAATGGGTCACGATTTACTCAATTATAATAGAGAATCGAGACAAATTAATTATCATGCTATTATTTGAGTTTAAAGTCGAATTAAACAAGTTCACCGATCGATGAAACGCCAATTTGAATCAAGGATTTTTACAGATATTTGTGTATCATCGGAATTGAATCAGATTGCCGACTGTATATGCGAACTTGTCAAATGGTTTATAAAGGCAAAGTGATGAATCGACTGTTGACTGATGATTATCATAGGTAAGTATTCCTAGTACAAGTTTGGAATTTCAGAAAAATGGTTTCCAATTTCGAAAAAAAGATATACAAATTTCACGAATTCAACAACAAGAAAATAATTATTATTCAGTAATAGGTATAATGTATGTCATTAATGTAATATTAATAAAAACATAATAAACAAAGAATACTGGGGCTAATGTAGGTAATAAATAAGTATTGTACTACATCTTAACTACAAATATAAAAATATATCAAACTATAGAGATTCTTCAATTATTGATATATCGTATTAATTAGTAGAGAAAACTTTGAATAATGAAAAATATCACATTTGACTAAATAGTTTCTGCAATCTGCCAACCTCAATTTATCGAATCATAGCCAGGAACCCTCCGATACATCAAACCATTTCTGCTAGCCCTACAACAACACCCTATCACAGCTACAACTCCTAAAATAATGCTGCCCCCACACACATTCGTCAGAACATCCCTATAAAAATATATATTTGACGCATCATTATGAACATACTGTATCAAAACAACTGCAATACCATTCGCGAGTTTATCAGTGAAACTCATAATTCCATACACGAACGCTCCACTACCCGTTTTGTCCCCAATAAAGTCAGTGGTTATACCTAAACTAGTGACTAGGACTATGGACCCTCCTGCGCCGATCAGGATCGCTACCACGTAGATATGAAAACCCGTATAGCCCCCACCCTCCCCAAATTTAATCCAAACGCAAGCTACAAGTCCTAGAAGCGCTCCCACACAGTAAGTCATCTTCCTTCCCAAGCAGCGGTTAATCTTCTCTATGAGAAGCGAAGTGACGAAACTCCCAACGAACATCGTCAACGGTACTAGAGCTAGAGAGCTAGCTGCCATGTCCAGCGTCTCGTGCAGGTACAAGGGCACGAACACCTGCGTCAGATTCACGAACAGCCTCGACGTCATGTAAACCACAGCGATCTGGTACAGCCTCAGGTTGGCGAACAAATCCCCGACGCTGGTTCTCAGCTGGCCCCCTCTGACGTCATTGCCCACGCCATTCTCCGGCTCCCGGATAAACACGTGGAACAGCACGGAGCACAGCGTACCGAACGCTATCACGGACCACACCACGTGCTGAAACTTGGGTCCGTCCGTGGGGCCGATCTTAGCGTGCTCCCCGTTGTCCAAGTGGAGCACTATCCAGGTCACCACGTAGACCAGAACGTTGGATATCACGGTGAAGCAGTATCTGATGGCGGTCAACTGGGTGCGATCGTGCTCGTTGGGAGTCAGCTCGGGTATGAGGGACAGGTGGGATATTTGCACTGCCGCCCAGCCGAACTGGAAGATGACGATGAAGACGCTGTAGTAGTACATTTGCGCCCAGTCGTGGCTTGAATTGCAGCCCAGGCAAGGCGAGAATATGAAGGGGAAGGCTGCTAGGACGCAGATTGTGCCTAGCAGATGCCAGGTTTTCCGCCTGCCGTACCTGCAGATCCAGAACGTGTCGGACTGGTCGGAATGGTAGCCGACGAAAGGGGTGGCTAGAGCGTCTGCTATCTGGCCTATGAGCATCATGACCCCGGTTTCCCAGTTGTTGAATTGGAGTACCAGGTGGAAGAAGACCAATAGGTAGGTGAACCACATTGAAGCGCAGACGTCGTTGAGCACGTGGCCTATCCCGTAGGCGAGTTGCATCCTCCATGGCACTCTGCTGTATAGTTCGATATATTCGTTCGTTAAATCGTAGGGGCTGCTGGTGTCCATTCTGGCGTTCTGTAGCAAGTTCTTGAGATTCTCGGACAATCTTGCGCGGTTTATCGAGATTTTTAGTGACATAAAGTGATGAATTGGAACTCGCAATAGAGAAGGGGAGTCCAAATATTCCTGAAAAAAAAAAAGTGATTGTGGTTAGATATATATTATGATAAAATTGTGTTCTTGAAGAAACAATGGGTGTTACCGAGGGTGTTACCTCTACTATTAGAACGTTTACTGTAATAGGAGCATGGAAAATATCACGGATATCAGCCTTGCATGATCTGACAACCCTGTTCGCCGGTCGCAATACACGCCATCCGATATTGTAATACCACAGAATAGTATCCTTTCAAGGATAATATACTGTGGTAATACTTAGGATGTATATTATTTTTCATGTTAGAAACTCAAGAGCCAAAATTTATTATCAATTAACAATCATATAATATGGGCGTAACTATTATAGTTTTATTTAAATATAGGTAAACCTTAGGGTCCATATACATCATCAGAACGTATCGACACAAATCGTCGATTAATAGGAATTTATTCGGCTAGAATAGTGAAAAATCAGAATAGCAAATCACCAGAATCATATTTCAGCGACTGCAATATGAACAACCCGTAATTTATTGTCGAACCGTACTTTGAGAGACTGTATATACCTACTACTGTACCACAATATTCTCTCAACTGTGACTGTACCTTCCTAAACCAGTAAATAAAATACTCTTCATGTTGTCAGAATCATTAGAATACATAACCGTAATGTCATGGGCTCAAATATAGGAATACTCAATGAATATTAGTTGCCTATAGTCGGGTAGATATTTATCAATTTAGAAAATTGATATCTACGATAAATAGATCCTCTTATAATATGAATACATGCATACTGCACCTAAATTCATATATATTTATTTATGAATAAGAACCTATATAAGTCTATGAAGGTAAATGATATAGGTACTTACTTTTGAAATAGGCCAGACCAGATCAAAGATTACTGTTATAATATCGTTGCTTTATACAAGATAATATATTTCCATATTTGAGGTAAATATTCCCAGTTTCCGATAATAGAACACACTAGAACTAATAGGTATTGATGACATTTCTGATGAAAACAAAACAATTTCGAGTCCACATGTTCAGTTGTTCTTGAATGAAATACATCAATCAGCTGATGAAAGGTCACGTCTATGCCTGCAACTTAACCAAACTGTGACTAAGCCAAGGCTAAAGTTGGATTATCATTGTTGGATTCGATGTTTGGTTCATTGCGCGGATCGCGGTGGTAGAATCGTGAAGTAGGAGAACAGACCACGAATGAAAACGTGAGCCACGGTTCCAGCGTTGTCATAGTAACCTACACAGAGCATGCTCGATATTACTAAACTAAATTATCATATGACACATTATGGTCCTTCTTTCGCATACTGCAGATAAGGATTAGAAGAACTTTTGAACCATAATAAGATGGCTAAGAACAACAAAACTCCAAAACAATATGAGCAATAAGTCAATGACTAAAAAACAACTAAAACAAGTCACGAGCACGCGACAGATAATGACGCATCCGTGATAAAAGCATTGTTGTGACTCTTCCAATAAATTCTGATATTTAATACCGATGTCTGCTAAATGTGGAGGACTCTAGGTATTTGTTTTCATCGCTTGGTGCGCACGAAAGAAAATGACTGTAATGTGCGTAGGGAGAGGAGGTGTAGCAAGTTTTTTTTAACTTTTGGAGATTATAAGTTCTTGGAAATACCTTCTTGGGCAATGAATTCCAGAGCTTTCCCGTTCTATAGAGAAACGAGTTTGGATATAGTGCTGTTCGACATATTTCGAGGTTGACAACGAAAATATGTGCTGATTGCGCTTGTCGAGTTCGTCTGGCTGATATTGCTAGTCGTGGAATGATGGCGGAGATATCTGAAAAACATTTCCCGTGGAAGATTCTTTAAAAATGTGGAAGTTCACCAACCTTCCAATGGTGTTCCAATGATGTCAAAGTGTTAGTGAGTGTGGCATCACCCACCAGGCGAATGGCTCTTCTCTGGATGGAATCTAAGAGCTTCGATCAGAGTGTATGTTTGGGTGCTGAACCCCATATTTGAGAACATTATTCCAGAACAGGTCTTATCTGTGCTTTTTAAATCATGAGAAGCTGTTTGAGGTGTAATGTTGCTTTTCCCACGGAATAAAAACCCGAGTGTTTGTGAAACAGCTTTCGCGATGGATCTGACATGATTATCCTAGGAAAGAGTATTGCTGATGGAGACACCGACCATAGATATAGTTGACTTGGTGGGACTGTTGGTATCAGACATTGTTATATCAGACATACTATGAGTTCCGCCTTTCTAGAGAAAATACAGGCTTATTGAGTTTTCGCGGTATTGAATTCAACTATATACAGGGTGTTACATAATTCAATACAAATATTTTAATGACATATTCCTGGGGTCAAAATAAGACTTTTTTTTCCTATAAACATGTGTCCTAAAATCCACCCCGTCCAAGCTACAGACATCGCAAGATGCGCAAAAAAAATCTTAAATTTTGAATTGTGGCTACAATTATGCATCAAATATTTTGAAAATACGACAAGTGCCTGCCAAAACGACACAAACGCCATCGAGTCAACTTTACAGGAGAGACAAGAAACTGATTAGCTTGTTTCGTAATTGCCACGAAAATCTGCTTGATGTCTTAAGTGAAAGATTGATTTTCATTATTTTTGTTGAAGGTTTGATGAAGACTCTGATTCTCCCTTTCATACAATAAATTAAAAATTGAAAAAATGGCGCTGGTGCCACTCCACGCAAGTATATAGAATGTGTTTATGCCAAAAGTGAAACTGGCGTTGATATGCGAAATTGAAATTGATGAGTAATTTCTTGTGTGTGTCGTTTATGCCACCATGGTGGTACAAAATATGCAATCATATTATTGCTTGAAACTGTGAGAGTATTGAAAAATTCCTTTTTCAAGACTGTGAAACTTAATGGGTACCTAATATAAGCGGAGAGATCTCAAGAAGATAATTATATTCAAAGACACAATTATATTTATTATTATAATATTAAATTGGCGGCCCGGTGGTCGAGAGCTCAACGGCGCTGAGTTCGTGTTTTCATGGGTTCGTGCCCCAGCTAGGCCATGGATGTTTGTAAATGTATGCTTCCCTAACGTACAAGTTTCGACTTATGGGGTGTTGAATCCAGTAGTGCTGTGACCACAAGGGAATGCAATGACACAAAAAATCAAACGTCTTACCTCTTGATGTAACATTGTCATCCAAACTTGGGCTGTGTCAAGTCTGGGGTTTGACCGGACACATACGTTCAGTGTGAAGTCTGACCATCCCAGTTAACACAGATTGATCCCAGAGATGTAAGAGGGCATCACATTCATGCCACACATCACATCTGTGACTCGAAATGAGAGGCCTAGTGAAATCACAATGACTGCTATTTCGGACCCTTTTGGTCATTTTATGATTCACATTATGATGCCAAATGAAAATCACAGTACGTATTATGCGACTCCTCATTCAACATCAAAATTGATTTATTCCGTTCGTTACATAAATAGACAAGGATGTGAGGTTTCAGTGAGTCTCTTGGTTGTTAGGGAGACTCATAAATTCACCAAAATTTCAGGTCTCAAATTTAATAAAATGTGAGGAATATTGCGAATGTTTTGTGAAATAAAGAGTCTCCTGGTAATACCAATGATGTTTTGTTGTGACTCGCATTGTTACCTAGCGAGGCATGAATGTGACATCCCAGGGATGTTTGTGTTTACTGGGATCAGTCTGACCAACCAGCTGTTTGGGAATATATCGGTCACGTTTCAAACCTGCGCCCATAAAGTTACCACATTAACTTTTCACAAAGAGAGAAACTCAAAGTCATTACCACAACTAGTTGACATTAACTTTTGATGGGAGTCAAGTCAACCATTGACCATCCTGGTATCACCACTGTGGTCGAACTTGACACAGCCATAAGTATATCAAAGTAGTTATATGTATTCTTATTGGTTCATAAGACAGGAAAAAATAATTCTACCTTGTCTGCCAATGAAAATATCCGAGTGCGGTTATCATGTTTACATAATATGAACACCTGGTCAACATTATTCAATATTCAGATGTACCTACTATAGAACTTTGTTCTCTAGCTGTTTATGCATTACTCGCGTGGGAGATATATCAACATTCCAAGCCAATGAAGCCTTCACCACAGTTTAAGGAATGGCTATATTCCTTAAACTGTGCCTTCACTATGATTACAATAATTACCTACTCAAATTCTGGAAACTCTGATTAATTTCACGTATTCGGAATTATCTCACCAAAAAGAAGAATGCAGGAAGGGCAAAAAACAAAGCAAAATTGATAGGCAGGTGATCTGATTGTTAATCAATTTGGATGCGCTCTTCGATATTTTGGTACTTCATCAGCTAATGCAGCTGCACCATTTGATTGCCTATTTGCCCTAGGTGAATAAATATGTTTTTTCACCACTAGCTGCAGAAGCTACCATTATTTACTCCTTCTCAAGGCTTGAAGTGTGTTTTTACTATCAAGGTCGTTAGTTTTCGTCATTTTATAAACCACTATTCAATAGACATAGCCACCTCTGATATAATTAACCCGAATCCACTGTTCTAATGCGAGATTCGCAGGAATGGCACTCGAATGATCAATATAACGACTTGTCATATGCTGTCATGATCATGTCTACTAGATTTTAATTAGAATTCAAAAGAAGTACTTTTATAGTGACAATAGGTCCATATTTCAGTTTAAAAATGAAATATACACCTTGGTAGTAAAGAATAAAATTATCTTCGGACCTGGAGCCTCGGGATATAATCTTGGTCCCTGGGTAATACTGATATTCTTCACTACCTTGGTGTATAAATAACCATTTTGTGGTTTCAGAATTTGTAAATATTCTGTTGCTGTGTCCAAATTCAGAACTTAGACTTTGGATAAACTGAACCATCCGTAGCACAAACATCTAACTATAAATTTACTAGATAAATGTCAGTATATGCACACTGTATCTGATACAGTTCCAGATTGTCTGAGAGTCCCAGTTTCAACAGATTATGATTCTGACGACAGTGATCAGTGTATATTCCAGGTGATAATGGGGCGTGTACACCTTAGTAGAACTTTTAACTCAAACCATGTTTGTTATGATCCTTTTATACATAAATAATGATTGACGACATAATTCGATCGAAAAATTAACTGGAATGTTTTATTTTTGGACATAAATAATAGTACCTTCTGAAAACGGACCCTCTCATGACGTAGGAACCTCATCTCGCCATAGTTGAAAGAAAATACCAAACGCCCGACGGAGACTGAGACAATACCTCAGGCAACTGATATATTAATTCTTTCAACTGTGATCTCGCGCTAATTCACTCTTTCAGAAATCATGTATCATTCATCTCTGTCTGAAATATTCTTGTTTCAGCATTAGGGTTTTGACGTCACATCATCGCCTCGTTTTCAGAAGTCCGAAAAATCGGGGATTTCAATAATTTTTTATAAAACGTAGGGAGCTCACAGCAAGAAACGGTTTGCGGTGGTGAGCTAGTTTGGGTGAGTTCTATCGAATTATGAAATAAACATTTTTTTTTATATAAGCCCATTATTTGAAAACGTGCCCAACACGTCAATTTACATATCGGAGTGGGAGGGGGGGACTTTGTTATCATATAATAATATATTCAACCCTTAGAATTTTAAATAGCGACCTCCACTCATTTTGCTAATTTTGAAATCCCTATGTGACTGCAGATAAATTACATCTATTTTGAACTTTTTTTTCTCAAGATAGCAGTACTTATCATAACAACATTTTGGTTTCTAATTCATTATGATAATAAAATGCTCAAAAAACAATGGAGACCATTTTGAACAATGAATAAAGTAACTTGTTAGGTCAGCATTTACTACTTTTATTATTATAATGAATAACAATCCAAAAATTTCGGAAGTAAAGTATTGCCAAGATGAGGTTAAACAAATTGAAATAGATGAAGCTTATCCATAATCACATGACGATTTCAAAAATAGCAAAATAAGTGGGGGTAGCTATTTAAAATTCTAGGTGTAGTTGCTCTGACGGTATAAAGGGGTTGAATTCAATATAACAACAAATACCTCGGAAGTTGTTTCGCCAAATTTTCGGTGTCATCAGTGAAAGAAATATTGTGGACCATCAAATGATATTGAAGCTTGGGCAAGCGAACCAATAATATACATCGATTTCTTCAGAAAGCATGCATACTCTTTCGTTGCAGCCTGTATAACGCAGATGAACCGATATATCCATCGCCTTTCTTACTGTGTACACTGTATCTATAGGTATGCATTCTATCATCTCTGATAACTATTATGATTACAACTGAAGCAGATAGGTTCTTGCTGATCCTATCAACTGATCAAAGCCTGTATAACGCAGACTAAAATACATACCGAGATACATCGACATCGACTATTTTAAAGGAACACCAGAGAGTGTATAATCTGAGATGTATAATCTCTGTATTTGATCATTCGATCCTATATGATGGCAAATGGAGCAGTGAAACCAGTGAAGCTGCCTAACGACATTGCAAACTGTAGACAGCAGCCGAACCAAGATTCATCGACTTCCATTATCTGATACTGTTATATTAAAAACAGATTCTTATTTCCCAGAAAGAGTAGTTAGATTGTTATTTCTTGAATGTTACAAAACATCGATGAAATAAAAATGTAATTGGTAATTATCTCGTTCCAGGGCTTTCGGAATGGTGTCATTTAACGTGACTGACCCCTTGGCGACAGACTCGGTGTCACCAGTAACTTTGAGCGACCACTGGTCAAGACTGGCTAGACTAATACTGCTGGCTTCCCTCGCGACGCTGGGAAGCGTAGGAAATGTCTTCATGATTAGTGCTGTCATGATAGAAGATTATCTCAGAAAACGCGGTAAGATAGTCACTGCATGACTGGTATACATCCACAGCTTTCTTCTGGAGTTGCGATTACAATTAATCCTGATAACCTTGTACAAGCTTGTGCATTAGATAGTAGTGCAGTAGAAAAAATTCGTATATCCCACTGCTGACACCAATATTATTAATCACAACCTTTCGCCTTCGCAGGAAACACCTTCGTAGTGAACGTAGCTCTAGCAGACCTCTTGGTCTCAGGTCTCGTGATACCAGCCTCAGCGGTAGTCATTCTAGCAGGACTGCGGGATAACCTGGTGGTTTGCAGATTTCAGTGGTTCTTGGCAGTACTGTGCTTCCTAGTGACAGTGCTATCCCTGACCGCCGTTGCCACGGAAAACTATTTCCGACTATGCTTTTCGACGAATTCGTACGAGAAGCTGTCCAGAGGGAAGATCACGGTTATCCTGCTGGTGTTCTGGACTGTTTGCGCATGCGTGTCAGGGGTGCAGTTTGCTTCGGATTACTCGTTCGATTACTGCACGAGGAAGTACTCGGGGTTGATTGTGTACCAGGCGTCCATATGCGTGGTATTGGTTTTCATCCCCATGACGATAACACTCTTTTGTTATGTCAGGGCTGGGTATCAAGTTCGTAGGTAAGTTATGACCTTGAATAGTTCCTTTATCCGTTGAAAGAAGTCTTTGTGACTCGAACTAGGCCAGTGGACCATTTTTTTAAAATTTATCAAATAGAATCATCACTCAAATACCTTTCAATTTCATATGTTTTAAAAAGTTTTCGGTAGATTTTCAGGTGCTAGAAATTTACCGCCAGTAAAAACGATTGGGAACTTCAGAAATACTAGTTATTCAATAACTCATAAATTGGTAATATTCCTAATTAGAAAATAAAAATTCAATTGTCTCAAAATGTTCACTTATGATTTGTGGCTTATCGCTTATAATAACTTTGTGTGAATAATAATTAAATCAATTCACAAAAGAGGACATTTGAATCGTGACAGCCCCGCGCACGACTTGTGGACGTGGTCTTGTCAGTTCTCAGCATTCAGCACAATGTTGCCAAGTCTCCAACATTCACATGATATTTTGTTATGGAGAATAAGAAATATTTGGACATGCTGGTTGCTCTAAAAGTCAGGAATGAACTATAATGTCATGAATTCCTCCTATTTCGTTTTATTCAACGACAGGACTCAAACATCTTTTTGATAACTTGATTATAATTGGTGACTTGACAACCTTGCTTGATGAGTGGAAATGAACGATTATCTGACCAATAACGAAACAGCATAAAAACTGACGTCATTTTTCGGAATGTACATGCATTGAGGTATAATTCATTGTATAAGTAGATAGATAGATAGATAGATTTATTGATCACGTTACATACAATGTGTATATTTGTGACATGTCAACTAAAATAACGTTGGAAAACTAAAATTAGATGAAATAGATTTTCATATGTATAAATGTGACACTTGAAAATACAGATTAAAAGCAGAAGAAAAATTACATGTATATATAAAATAGAATAATAAATCACAATCACTAAAAAGCTAAAATCATAGCTGTCACTCTAGCACTAGGTCAGAAAGAGGGGTTGACAGGTACTCCTTAACTGAATAGTAGCTGGTCTCAATCAACATCATCTTCACTTTTCTTTGGAATTGCATAAGTGGTAATTGCCTGCAGTGTTCTGGTAATTTATTGAATATATTACAATTCACTGTGTTCTTGGCAGACGTTGTCAATCTGAATCTAGGATTTTGTATCATACTACAATTCCTAGTATTGTGAGAATGAACACCGCTGGAAGAGGTGAATTGTTGTAAGTTTTTTCGAATATAAGTGAGAGATTGAAATATATAAAGTGAGGGCAAAGTCATGATTTTGAATTGTTCGAAGTAAGGTCTGCAGGATACCCTGGGCCCCACTCCGGCAATTATCCTGATTGCCCGTTTTTGATATACAAAAACTCTATTTGCATGGGATGAGTTCCCCCAGAGTGTTGTACCATAAGATATATGTGAATGAAAGAGAGAGATACAAGCTATTTTCAATATGTCGAAACTTAATGATTTTTTTGATGTTCTCAACAGAAATAACTGGCTGGTTGATCTCTAACATAGAAGATTAATGTGAATTGTCCAATTTAGTCTGTCATCAAGATGTATTCCTAACAACTTAGCACATTCATTGTTTCTGATAAGTGTATTTTGTGCTGAAGATAATGTTTTGATTCTATGATAAATTCTGTTTGAGGTTATTTGGAATAAGCCATTCATCAATTTCAGATATGATATCCACATCAGTTTTCCTTAATGTAATAGGATTCGAATTTGAATGGTAAAAAGTTGCATCATCTGCAAACATTATACAATTCACAAAATTCATGTGAAAAAATAGGTCATTGACATAGATAATAAATAACAGAGGTCCCAGTACTGAGCCCTGAGGAACTCCGTGTTTGATTGATCTAGGTTTTGATGATTTAGTATTATAATAAATACTTTGTTTCCTATTTGCTAGATACGATTTGAAAAATTCTAAAGCAACTCCTCTAACTCCTTAGTGCTCAAGCTTGTCTATCAAAATCCGATGTAAATACATCCGAAGTAAATACATGAGATACCCACTATAAGGATTCCCTTGATCGTGGGTGTACAAAAATGTACAATGTGAAATATGAGCAAATGTATTGAAATTATTGTCTTCAGTCGTAGGACCCAGAAGGCTTGAAAAGTATGGAAATGGTGTGTGGCAGTGAGTTTGAAAGGTTTTCTTCTCATACACGAATGATAAGAATACAAATGTATTCACCAATTTTTCGGAATGTACAGGGTCGGCCAAATTGAAAGTCCTATTCTCGAACCAGATATGGACGAAAACTGGTGTCGGTGCCTGAGGGTCGATTCTCATGAAAAACTCAATGGTGAAATCCGCATATCGATATATGTCTTCGTTTCGGAGTTACAAGGTGTTTTTCGAGAATGAGCTTTTTGGAAAAGTGGCTACAGATATTTTTTTGGTAAAAATTGTCTGTTCTTATGAAAATAACTGCGAAGCATTGAGTTTGTGATAAAAATTGTTCTCGAGGCACTGAAATCGGCTTTCCTATATATCTAGTTCAAGAATATAACTTGTTCTTCTTGAAAAATAGTTCTATATTGCAACTAGGTATACGGTGACTGATTTTAGTGCCTGAGGATCAATTTTCATGACAAACACGATGCTATGGAAATATTATCATGGAAACGAAGAATTTTTGACAAAAGAAAGAGTTTTCAAAAATTCCCGTTTTCGAAAAAAACCTTGTAACTCTGAAATGAAGATAGATATCTATATGCGGTATCCACCTTTGAGTTTGTCATGTGAATTGTTCTCAGGCACCCACATCAGTTTTTTTCTGTCTTGTACGGGAATAGGACTTTCCTCTGAAAGTGCCCAATTTGACCGAAACTGTACGAAGGTAAGTTTGCTTGAATCGGATTGTTTTAGTCTGAGCAATATGTGGTAAGATTTTTAAAAGACCCTTTTATAGACACCCTGTATATTCGGATGGAGTATATATAGGTGCACTTATGAATAGATTTCAAAAAATTTAATAAAAACAGAACTTGAGTCAAAATTAGCACAGATTCGTAATCAGCAGCAGAAAAGTCGTAATATTCGTTTTTTTTGCGAATCATGCTTTTTTCATTCGAATGATCCTATCATTATAGTTCAGTATAACATATAGGTCCAACTGATCCTATCCACTAACACAAACGTTGAAATCCCAGTAGGAAAATGATATCTCTAGCCTAAAAATACCCACAAGGCAATGAAAGTAATAACATAACATCTTTGGAATTATTATAGCTCGTTCATAATTACCAATTTAATATGTATTGTTATGTTTCACGCTCATAACGATTTTCTACCGATTACATAAACTACTCAGAGAATGTTGTTTGGATTGATGCCATATGCCATAAGGGCAACTGAAAGTATGTAATGAAATATTTGAGAGAAAACTGATTTCTAGAATATATAGGATTAAAAAGTGAAATTATTAGCAGACACATCGAAATATTTAGACATCAGAAGATTCAAAAGTAGGTACTTACCTATCTTCTTCAATGTCTATGGGAATCATCATTATTTCCAACTTATATAACCTATGACCTGAAAACAAAAAGATATAAAGGGTGGCATTGAAATAAGTGCAAATATTTCAAACACTGAGGAAGCTCGACGTGTAATATCGAATGGTACTATTAAAAAAAATTTAGGGATCAATAGAATATTTGAGGTTTGTTATATTATGGTCATAATTCAATAAACACGAGCACAAATGACATGGACAAGGGTTACACTTGCTCTTCACTCGGCTGCCTGCCGAACACTGTATGAACCAGTCTTCACACACGTCTGTCATAGGCTCTGATCTAAGTACATTTCACTGAGCAGTAGCGCATCTAGTTGCTAGATGCTAACACGGCCATCCTGAGATTGGGACGCTCTCGGACCAACAAGCTCGGTTTCATCCTGACTAAATTTCCTGTCATTTAGAGCTCGACAGAGAGCACAATTGTTAACCCACCTTGCCATTCGGCCTAGGTGTCGACCCACTTTTACCAAGTACAAATGACATGGACAAGGGTTACACTTGCTCTTAAATCGGCTGCCTGCCGAACACTGTATGAGCCAGTCTTCACACACGTCTGTCATAGGCTCTGATCTAAGCACATTCCACTGAGCAGTAGGGCATCTAGTTGCTAGATGCTAACAAGGTTATATGCCTTTTTCCACCAAAAGTTTTACACTGTAGCAGATCTGACGTTACCTCTGTTCAAATTTCCATACGGTATGCACAATCGCGCAAAGTTCAATCATTGAAATTGTTCAAAAGTGGCGTACTTGATTTTTTTCTCTTTTTTTGTTCAATTTCTGGGATGAAATTTCATGCTAATTAGAATTAGAAAAAATCTGATATCATGGAAATATTCTTCAGACTTAGATCATTTTGATGTGCTGAATATGTGCACCTATTTCAAAAACACCTTGAATATACTATTCAATAAAAGAAGATTGAAGTCATCCAATTACTGGAATGTATCCAGGTCAGATAATGTAATCTCTTCAAAGCAGTCAACAAATACATCAACAAAAAGAAACAGGAAGAAGCACTGACATAATTACTATCTAGACCACTATATTTTATATCCCAGCAACCCAAACATCTGATCCAAATAGCTCGTCTGCTCTACTCAATGCGCAGGAACTTCCAAACTGTCGTTAATGACATTGATTCATGTTGGTGTTGGAATATTTCTTGTTCGCTAGGCGATCTCGTGAGTGACATAGCTAATTCTTTCTTATGGTGGTCTAGATATTAGTTTCATGTCAGTGGAAAGAATCTACTGATCCTCAATCCTCCCTAATTTCCGCAGGTTCAAGGCCAGACCGAGCTTCAAAGCCTCGATCATCTTCAAATGGGACTGCACCCTTATGCATTCCAACCTGTACAGCTTCCTCACCTTCATCATCTTCTGGCTGCCCTTCGGGGTCGTCCTCACCGTGGGCACGGTCAGGAAAATCCCCGACAGCCTCTTCTACAACCTGGCCTGGCTGGCCATCTGCAAGTCCTGCATCAACAGCATCGTCTACGGCATCTCCAACCCGCACTTCCGCGGTGCCTACGTCAACCTGTTCCACTACTGCTGCTGCAAGACCACGGTGACGTTTTCCAGGCGGCAGAGGCCCGAGGGCATTAGGCCCTCGGGGGACGTCAGGGTGCATATCATCCCTGGCTACAACATGTACTGCAGCCCGCAAAGGGGCAGGGAGGCTCAGGGCAAGCGGATGTCCTCGAGGGTTAACGGCAGGGACGTGTACGAGTTATGATGAGACGATTCTTACTCTTCGACCAGAGGAGTATGGATTTGAATCTGTACTTTGTGTTTGTTATCGGGCATGTAAGGTAATCGTGGCTTTCGTCCAGCAGCGTGAACAAAAACTTTCATCCAAGCAAATCGTCCTTTTATCGGAGCATTTCCTATTTACTCAAAGATTAAACTTCAACTCGATCTCCTTCAAGGCAACGTTATACTTTAAGTTGATATTTGTGAAATGTCCTACACAACATCCAAGCCGATGGATCTTTCAAGAATCATCTCCTATTATCCTAAAAATCAAAATTAAACTCTCTCATCACTGCCTAATCACTGCGAATTTGTCTTTGGAAGACTGGAGAGTGCACATCACAAATTGAAGGAGTATAGATTTGAATCTATAATTTGTTTTGTTATCGCAATGTGGGGTAATAGTGGCTTCGACCCAGTAGTATCAGGAAATATTTTCCTCATGGATAATGTTTCATAAGACATACCTAAGAGCATTGCAATCATCGAAAACTTACAGCGGTAATTGCACTGCAGAGCGAAGATTGCACTTCGAAAACATCCAAGCTAATTATGTTTCTCAGAAACAATATCTCTTCGAAAATTCATCGATTCCTGAATTCCAATGAATTAATGTTGCGAGGATCACTGAGACACGGTTTTCAGCAACAGTATTTAATACAGTGAATGATTAATTCATTAAAATGATAATTAACAACCAACAGTTGAATAAACAACAGCATTCTAGATTCATATCTATACAGGGTGTTAATCAATACATAGACCCGAAAATTGAGGATAAATTCAACAACTACATTCGTACATAAAAATGACCAGATAATTTTGAATTCGTTATCTCAGAGAAATTGCTTTCTTGCAAAATTATCGGTAATTTTTATGTACTTGTGCAATAATTATGACAGAAAATTTTCATCCACTGTCTAAGCAGATATCATTATTCTTTGAATCGTTTCCTATTACCCCAAAAATCAAATTTGACCCGATCTCTTATCACAGCAAACTTATATTTGATGCAATCTTTGGGGGATGACATCATCATTCCTGCGGTACTGCAGACAGCAAAGGGAAAGTGAGGCTCATGTCAAAATAGCTTTTATCAACTTATAATCTCAGATTTATAAGCCGGATTTTTTGGATTTGGATGAATGTTTTTAGTTTATCGAAGGACCCTAAATATTGTATTATGTGCACCATCACCATGTCAGTACCAGTAGCCGCATCAAAAACATGTGACATGTCAAGAATGTATGAAGAAGAAAGATACGTTTTGATATGTCATTCATTCCGTCAGCAGTATTATCAACAGTGATATCACGATGTACTGAATATTGGAGATAATTATGAGAAGATATTCAGAACAGAGTGGTATTTTGCTAGAATATTTCACGAAGCATTTATCATGAATGAACAAGCCATATAACATTACAGGTATAATTATTTTATGTCAAACCGATAGACTTCGATTCGCTATCTATGGTAACATCGTTGAAAACACAAACGCTGATAGATCAATCCGAATTGAAAGAACTAGTGTTTTCCCGATAATATACGTTGTCTTTGGCTTGTGATTGGTCACATTATGTGAGAATTTTGAGAAGAGTGAAATAGTCAGCAAATTATGCTAAGTGACACAGGGTATCGGGCTGCCTTTGTAACTTCTGCATACGCGTGAACGGATGTTTCTGAAATTTGGTACAGTCATTGTAAGGTATCATTTCGGAATTGATCACATTAAAATCCAATATGGCGCACTTCCGGTTTTTCTGGAAATGCTAGCAACTTCGTTTTTTCAAATGGAACACTCTGTCTATTTTTACATATTTTGGTGGTGTTCACCAATTGAAACACGATAGATCATTGAATGAATCGTTTTTTAATCTCCTCTGACATAACTATCTGAACAAGTAACTTTAGTTATTCGCTTTTTCTTGTTTTCAATTCCTAGGTTTATTCTCAATATCACAATCACTCTGGAATAATATAAAGGGTGTTAATCCCTACACATATTCTAGTTCAAAAGGTCAAAACAAGTGCAAAATTTATTTCAAATATCATTTTTTCGGAAATTTTGAAATTAAAATTGTTATTTTATTTCACCTCATGGATGAATGAGATGTTGTCAAAGCTATATTCACAATAAATCCCACTCACTAAAGAAACATATTTTTAACTGAAAAACTATTTTTCGGTCTCTCTAGAACATACATTGAGAAACAAAATGACATTATTTCTGTACTACTTTTATGAATTTCCTTGCAGTTCGAATGATTTTTTGTAAGCTGTGGAAAACAACATTTCTGAATCTTGTAATAAGATTGCACTCGTATTAACTTGCTGAATTTAAATATGTAAAGATATAAACGGTGTTCCATTTGGAAAAACGAAGTTGCTGGCATTTCCAGAAACACCAGAAGTCCGCCATATTGGATTGTAATGTCATCAAATCCGAAAAAATTGCCTACATGATTGTACGAAATTTCATGAAAATCCTTTTACGAATGCAGAAGTTACAGGTACAGGGGTAACTTGATACCCTGCTGTGTCACGTGGTATATCAATATATTTTTCAGTGAATATGGTAATCGAAACATTCCTTCCGTCATATTGAGATTACATTGATACCTGTGAAATGAAAAGAATACAGTTTAAAAAAACACCACATAATTAGGTCGTATCTACAAATATCTATTTGTCTATCAAGTTGTAGGAATCTATATATTTTTTCGAGTATTAGACAGTATCAGTGTACCTATACATCTAGAATAAGAATTGAATGGTCCTCGTGAAAACGTTTTCATATAATATATAATATATTTTGTAAAGTATCTTGGATCCCTGATGAAAAGAAATCGTAAATCACGGTTAAGAATGCCTTTTCCTAAGCTTTAATTATTGGTAAATTCGAAATAATTGGCAAAAGACTGACTATTTTAAATACTTGTATGAATTAATATAATGGTATTAAATTAGCTACTTTAATTATTTGAATCAAAATATCGGTACATATAATAATTGAGTTGTAGTTATCTAATAATTATTGCATTCCCAGTATACAGGGAGATTCAAAATTACATGTAAATATTTTGAAGACATATTGTTGGGATCAGAATAAACTTTTTTTTCATATAAACATGTGTCTTGAAATGCAGTTAGGTTGAAAAACAAGATTATCTGAAACCGTGCCTACAATAATGGATCAACTCTCCTGAAAATTATCTCAGAGGAGGTGCATTTTAGGATACATGTTCATAATAAGAAAAGAAGTTCATTTTGATCCCAACAGTATGTCCATGAAATATTTACATCGAATTTTGAATCACCCTGTATGGGTAGGTAGGCACCATGATATATCAGGAATTATTGAACTATTCTCCATAATATCAAATTTGTGGTTGGTATGATGTGAATTATTCTAGAACCAGGTGCTACATATACCGGATGTTCCAGAGTTTTCACGACAGCAGATCTGGGTTATCTAACATACGAAAAAATTCGAAAAATCGTGGTATTTATGGGAGCAGAATCTATTCAAAATAATGGAATCGAATCACTCTTGTGTAAAACAATCTACTAGAAACCACCCCTTACTTTGGTTTTTCAAATTGCACCCCTATCATGTTTTTCCACTATAGATCACGATCGATATAGCTTTATATTCAAAATTATAAAGAGATAAATAGGAATTTTCCTAACAAGTGCGGAAAGTGATTCTTTCCAGCACGCGACTGCCGTTGACACGAACGACGCGAAGCGACCGAGAAGGAATTTCCTTTTTCCTTTTCAAAATTATTGAAATTATTCGAAATTTCGGAGAATGAAGTTAATGCTAAATATCTATTCTGATATATCTCTAGTATATAGTTTGTTTGAATGAGGATGAATCTTTATTTATATTTCTATTTTTTCATGTTCATAATTTCCTTTTATCCTGTTCAAAATTATTGAAATTATTAGTAACTTCGAAGGATGAACCTATTGCTAAATACCTAGTCTGATATATCACTGAATTGAGAATGAGAAATTCCATTAGATGAACCGAATAAAACATAGGGGTGCGGGTGCAATTTGAAAAACCAAAGTTAGGGGTGCATTATCTCTAGTAGATTGTTTGAATGAGGATGATTCGATTCCATTGTCTAGTGATACTCTCGTTTCCATATAGTTTTTGATATTTTTTTGAATGTTAGATATCCCAGATATCTGCAGGCCTAAAAGCTCTGGGACACCCAGTATATTGGATGCTAATTGAAATGAACTGTTACACGGTCGAATTACAATTTCATTCATTATGAAATAATTATTCATAAATTCTGAGACATCAGGCAGGGAGATATTTCAAGTATAGGAGCTAAAAAATCCTATCGCAACATGTTTAGTTCATGACGAGGTTTTTGATAATAAACCACGTTTATGGATCATCTGACCGTTGAATGAGGTATATATCGGCGCTCAATTTTGGTTTATTAGCGATTAAATTCATATTACATCATTATTGGTTGATGGCAAACCACAAAAACCAATGACCATAAATATACGAATTAGCTCATCAACTTGAACTCAACCCACCAATATGTTTTCCAACTTTAGTGAAGGTCGACAAATTGTAGTAGTTTTCAGGATAGACATCCATGAGGAACGAATTCCAAAGTTTCGATGTCCTACAAAAAATACTCATCGAAATGTTCTTTAACTTTTTTTCTAAAATCTTGCACTTGCAATGGAAATTGTACTGGGTCAATGTTATACGAATTAGGTACTACTTTAACCTGGCGTTGGTATAAGGTGACCGAATTGATCCCCATTGGTAATGTGGGGTGTAGGAAAACCCAGTATAAAATATCGTTTTGTAATTCGGATATTCTTCATTTAGACTTCAAATATTATGTTTATGGTAGATACGGTATTGCCTGATAGAAAAAAAAAACAATGAGACTTACTCATAGTTTACAAGAGAGTAACCTATCGATATTGAAAGAAATGGTT